AAGAAAATGAAAATACTATTATCAATTTTACCTTTACTACAGTCAGTTTGACTTTTTCACAGAAAGTGGAATGTTATAAGGTCACCCTTTGAAACCACTCAAACCATTTTAATTTGCCTCAGTGTTTGAGCCAATGTGACACTGACATGTAAATACTGTATTTAAATAAATACTTACAACACACATTTTTGAGCCATGTAGATAAAAAGTCTTTTGCTTTTGATAATGCTGACCTCTATGTGGTGGTAAATTAGTCTAAAAATGACATTCATAATGTATGTCTTGCTATTCTTCTGCTAGTAGCTGGATTGTATTCCTGATTGTATCTCAAATGCTATATTTTGTCAGGTTTTTAGGTACTTGGAATTTGTTTCTCATGATATGTGTGTGGTGTTTGTTCTTATGGTGTTTTGTTACTTGCTCTCTTTTGCTGCTGAAACACATGAATTTCCCCATTCTGGGATCGATAAAGTCCTACCTTACCTTACCTCACCTATTGACACAACAGAGGTCTTGATGAATTTATCAATGGTATGCTGTATGTTGAGTGATAGCAGGCATACAGAGTGTCCCTGCCTTCCAGTCAGCTGTGGACCCCAGAGTGCTTCACAGCAGAACATGTATAACTGCTAAGAAACACTGCTATAACAATACAACCTAAACAAAATAAAACACAGAATTTCAGGGCAGAAACAGTAAAAAAAAAACTCCATATCAGAGTACAACTGGAATAAAACAACAAGTTAAAAATGTCTCTTTTGGAGGAGGTAAGACGGGTTAAGCACCAAAAGCCTGTCTAAAAAGGTGGGTTTTTAGAGTTGACTTAAAAGCCACCAGCTCGGTTATGGACCGTGGCTCTAGCAGTAGAGAATTCCAGAGTCTGGGGCCATACACAGCAAAAGAATGATCGCCCCATTTTTTGTATCGAGACCATGGGACAACCAAGGACAACCAAGTTATAGGAGAGCAGAGGCAGAGAAGCCCTTTAAAGTGACAAGGGAATGACAGCTTTATGAATATGATATGATTGATATACTGTATATTATAGGATAATACAGTTTAACTGCAAGAAAAATCAACAGTGATATGGTGAGTGAATAAACTGACCTGACATGGAGGTCGGATTTTGTCTAATTCAGCAAATTCTGTGTAGTAAAAACATACTGTCAAATGCCTGGGAAAAGTCTTACAAAGTAAGGAAACACACATCTAAAAGCACATGTAAATGTAAGTCGAGTACATTTCAACTGGAATACTACTGGGCTGAACACACCACACGTAGGGCCTCTCTGCAGCTAGTTGTATATGTACTGTAGTTCTTCACTGAAAAATCTGCCCCACGTCAAATCAGTTTCTTGTCTGCCAGCTCTATATTGTCACAGCAGGTTACCAAAAAATCTCACACATAAGAACAAACCCAGGTTTGCTTGTAAATCAAATTCCAAAATGCCACACATACTAATTCTGACAACCTTATTTTTGTATTTGCTTGATTTACAATTTAGCTATTTAATCAAAGAAGAGGATCAACAAAATGTCAACACAACCCGTACAAAATGCTACTGTACGGGCATGATAATGAAAGGGAATTTTGTATCTGTGAGCTGGTTGTTCTCATACTGTAAATGCAAACCTATTTAACAGATGTTTGCACTTGTGTTAATTACATGTTATTATAACTGCCAGCTGCACAGTGATATTACTGCAACGCCATTTGTTTTTCTATGATAAAAAGAAAACGCTGAAAGTCATTAAAGGTGCCAGTTTGTAGGAAGACAAAGCTGAACGGTCTTCAGAATTGTAAACAGTAGCACTATTAATGAATTGAATTTATTTTCCAGGTGATGTCATCTGGAGGACACATACGCCACACTGATCTAAAAATCACTCTGTGAAAGATGAAAATTAAATATTATATGGCTTAAAGTCTCACTAAGGTGTTTCTTTGATGAAGGAGAGAGATGAAATAGAAAAACAAAAGCACATTTTACATACTTAGAACAATGAATAGGGAATTCTAATCAAAACAAAGCATCATCACAGATACTTAATGATCCAACCACTGTAGTGTACTGCAGTCTTTCTTAAAAGATCAATTAAATTACACTGATGACACCAGTGTGCATTACTGTGTAAGTGAACAACTCTTCAAGGTACATCCAAAATTTCCCTCAGGATCAGCACAATATCTATCTACCTATCTATAGCAGCCCCATCTGTCATGGTGTCTAGTTATCATTTAGTTATTGCCATGTGCTAAAAAACAATATGCTTTTAGTAAAATCAACACACAACAGGAGACACAGGCCTGAATGAGACACGCATCAAGGATAAAAACGTTCTTTCCAACAGTACTGACTCAGCAAATTAGAGGAGCAAGCATCTGCCTGACGTGATAACCATTGATTTCCACAGCAATAAATCTCCTTTCTCCAGTGTCCCTCTCTGCATATGCAATTCACTCCCACATCAGTGAGCCTTGTTGAAACAGCCCTGTTAATGAGACCCACTGCCAAGCAGAAAAACTTCAAAAGACCAAATAAGCAACAGGGTATAGGCATCCAAAAGATTCTGGCAAGCTTCATAAATTCTTAATGTATTAGTCATATGCTTGAAACTTCAGAGGCTCGGTAGAGATAATGTGAGGTTTAAAAACATCCCCACAAGCGTACTCTAAGCCTACACTACAAACATGTTTCAGGATAGAAACTTGCTTGGACCAATTTAAATGCATTCACAAGGAGCTTAAGGACTGTTCTGTTAAGCATTAATGGGATCCAATGAAGTAAGGCTCACCCATGTTTAGAAGTTGTGAAATGTTCTTGCTAAATGTCATAACTGTATTACACCTACTAGAAATTCAGTGAGTGAATGTTTAGAGACAAGACCTTTGCTCGAATACTTACTAAGGATTTGTTTTGCCTTCTAAATTAGCACACAAGCTGGAATCAAACCAGCTCTGATTTATAATTGGCACCCTAATGTAACAGAGAACACTGTTCTCTCCCTGAACACCCTGTGTTTATGACTGATGTCACTGCAAAATAATTTAAGAAGTCTAGAAGGACACAGTGCACATATTGAAGTGTTCTTGGGCAAGACACCGAACCCCAGTCTCCCCACTGGCCAGAGCAATGCCTTGCAGCACCACTATTGGGGTGTGTGTGTGTGTGTGTGTGTGTGTGTGAGTTGTCAAGTCAAGACTCTTTATTGTTACTATGCTTAGCGCAATGAAATTTTTTCTGGCAGCTCTCGGTTTAAAAGACAAACACATTATTTACATAACACAAAATTGTATAATTCAATATAAAACTATGAGCAAACGAAAAGGGATGTATGGGACCTAATCAGGTCAGCAGCATGTTAGCAGCAAAAGAGTGTAGTGACATTATGAGGTGCAGCTCAGTGCAAATCTCAGTCTTTAGGAAGAGGTGTGAGCATGGGTGTGTGTCTGCAGAGGTCCAGGGTTCTGTCTGTGTCTGTTTATAGGGGGGAAGTTGTGTGTGTGACTGGGGGTTAGTGGGGTGATTGATTTCACAGCTCGGCAGAAGAAGCTGTGTCTCAGTCTGTTTGTTTTAGTCTTTATATTCCTGTACCTTTTCCTGGAGGGAAGAGGCACAAACAGACTGTTGCCTGGGTGGATGGGGTCTGCAGCAATCCATCTGGCCCTCCTCTGGATCTGGTCAGCGTATAGTGAGTCCAGATCCAGAAGAGGAGTACCTACAATGCCCATTCTGATCCACACGCTAGTCTAGAAGGAGGCGGTAATGCACCTAAAGCTGGTTGCCAACCGCCATTAAAAAACAGCTGAAGAAGAAGAAGAAGTTGTTGTTGTCATCCCAGTTTGCTCTGTGGTCTCTGCGTGAGTATAAGTGAATGTGCACATAATTCTTTTAACGGTAAAAATTCAATTTTTGGCGCCACATATGGCTGCCTCGGTTCTGTGCCACAGACAAATTCCTTGTGTGTGCAATATACTTGGCCAGTAAAAGTGATTAAATGAAACTAAACTGCAATGCAATAAATAAATGATTCTGCATTTTGGGAAATAAACTTATTTGTTTTCATTCTGTGCCTAACAGCTAGATATCTTAGCTGGGCATAAACGGGGAAATGGCAACGACAATTCACTGTTTAACAGAGCTATCTAATGAAACTCTTACATGACTGCTCAGTTTTAACTTGTGACAGCTCCTGAAATGCTCTGCATCATTGTGCACACTGAGCTCTTTTACCCTCAGCCATTCAGTGGGTGGCCCTCTTCCTCTATATGCTGTCAGTCTCATCTGTGGTCTACTCTGATGATACACTGGAGACAGAGTTGCAGCAGGTCAGCAAAGCTTCATTTGCTGCATGCTTATGGGCAGGAAACCACTCTTTTATCAACTGACCCATGAATATTTATGGATTCACATGGGGGACCAAAGTATACAGTAAGCTATTTCAGCCCAGCTTTCAGACAGAATGTTGTTCTGCATGACTGGTTAAAGTTACGTCTGTTAACACCTTGCTTAAGTAGTGAGAACTGACACTTCTTCCAACACACAGTGTCAAAAAGACAGCATGACATATTGGTGCTACAAGCTGAATATAACCCTGTGGAACCACCAACTGAGAGATGGTGATCAAGTTTAATGGTAGTTCACAATAAAAATTAGCCATAAAGACAGGCTCTGCAATGTAATATGCAGGGAGCTGGTAAAATATTGACTGTAATGATTCAAGAGGCAACCCTCACTTCGTTAAATACAGAAGTCAAACTAATGCAATAATCAAAGCTACTGAAGCTTTTCAAAGTGTTAACACCAAATATTGAGAAGTATGAGACCTCTTTTGTTTAACACCAAGCTGAAAACCTTTCCTTGATAGCATCACTGAACAAAACTATCCTGCTAATTGTGTCCTTAAATAAAGTTGGCAAAGTGCTCTGATGTTAACCTGAGACACAGGATAATTAGCACTGTTGGGTCATAGTAAGAGCTTTTGTTTTGCAAATGATGAGGTGCAGCAAAAAATAAAACTAAATAAAAAACTTGCATGACTAATGAGACCCCCAAAAAGCAGTCACAGCTGATTTATGTAGCAGCACCCAGATTCAGCTGCCTCCCCGTTTAGACAGGAATCGATGTCCAGTCTGATTCTGGCTCAAAGGAGTGCTTGAAGTGTACAGAAGATGAGGTGGAACATGAGGATGCCCTGCAGCTGCATCAGTTTACTTCTCATCCTTTCTTCTTCCTCTGGACATCTTCAGACAAAGACAGACTGACAGACTGTTTCTGGCTTTTTTCCATCCATTTGTTTATCTTACCCCACCTACTCAAGTACCACAACAGAGAAAACAGCTCATTGTCAGCTGACTGATAAAACATGTAGTGTAGTCTGTTGCACTCACTGACATACCCGGGCCTTGTAGCAGTCTACTCTGTCTCTATCTACTGGTGTTCAGGGCCTCTCCAGGTTGTTGTTGATAGGGTACAGTATATTCTCTGGTAATCTCTGTGGGTACCCGTACCTTTGTACAGTAAATCCTCCTTAGATGGCTCTTCTTGGTCCACCGTGCCATCACAATTGCACCGAAAAGAAGATGAATAGTTCTCATGAATTCTGGAGGTGACATGCTCCTTAAATATAAAGTCACTGGTGTAGAGAGTGAGATTCAATTCCTTCTGTTTCCATGTCTGGGAAAATAGTTCTTTTGAGTAAGAAGAAATTTACACTTCTATTGCAGCTTGAGGACAGGAAACAGAAATGGGCACCTCCTTCTCATGGGGCTACTTATGCAAAAGGCCAAATCTGTAGGCTAGGGCATTTATGCAACATGGCTTTCCTGAAGATCACAGGTGCTGGTGCACTGAGAACAACTCCTTGAGAACTGTGTGGATTCCTGAGACCAGAGGGGCTGCTGCAGCACCACAAGCAAGTAACTGTTCGTGATCTGATCTGGTGACAGTGGAGCCAATTTGCACATCAACCACATTGTTCTCTCACTATTTGCATGTCTCATATTAATAAACGTGCATAGAAAAGAAGAGAGACAGGTGTGTTTGAAGTCTCTGAGTATCATGATGACAAAGGCTATTTTCACTTTCTGTGGACAGCTTATATTTGCCCCAGTACAGTAAGTGGCATTTAAGTAACTGTCCTTTCCACCTCTTCTGCTTCTGTCTTTTATGACAGAAGCTGAACTATAGGTTTCTCTGGGCAATGGCCGGTTGACCTGTTTGATAGTGTAGGACAACAAACCTCCAAATTGTGTGAAATTTGTCTAGCAATTATTGGTTTTTACCCACTTGAGTGCAGCATAACAAACTGTTGATACTTTCCATAAACACAACTTAAGTTTCCATCCACATTTGCTGCATATTTTAACTTAACTGACAGTAAATTGCTGAAAAAATCAAAAATCTAAGTTACTGTGCATTTACTTCTGCTACCAAATATTAGGACTAGGCTACCTCAAGATTAACAGGTGGTGGTGCTAATTCTCTTGTGGGGTGCCATGAAAGCATTGCAGAGGAGGGTGCAACAAGATGACCTAATTAAAAGAATACCAAACATTGGAGATACAGCATGTAGAAAACATAACATTGCATTTACTGTCTGTTGGAGGAGTGTGATATTCCACACAGATCTAATCTTTTTGTCTCCTGCCATTTTTCATCACCTCTGTGCAGAAGCTGTTATGAAAGGTACTTTAAGATCATTGAGCTGAGGAAACTGTAGATTCAAGCAATAGCTGCCTGTAATTAAGGAGTACGTATGTAAGTACTATATACTTCAGTTAAAATCCAAATTAGAAAGAAAAACAGTTTTAAGAGCATATTTTGAATGCTCAGATAAAAATGTAGACAAAAGTTCAAAGTTCAAAGTTCAAAGTGCTTATTTTGTCATATGTACAGTTAGGAAACGTGTTTCCCTGTACAATGAAATTCTTATTTTGCCATCCACATGAATGCCACAAAATACAAATGAAATATAAAGTAGATAAATAAATAACACAAAATCTAAGGCACTTTAAGCAGTGCAGATGCAGCAATATAGTAAAAAAAAATATACAAGAATATAACAGAATGTATGCTGCATGGGAGAAGCATGTGCAGCAGAGTCGTTGTGCAATTATACATGTAATACAAAATCTAGGACACCTTAGGCAGCGACAAATGCAGCAATACAATAAAAGAATATAATAGAGAATGTATGCTGCATGGGAGCAGCATGTAAAAGTGCATGTACTGCTGTAACACGTCCCTGGTTTTAGATTTCTCTAAGCATTTTATGCACTGTATTTCATAAGGGCCAAATGGTGTTGCTACAAATCAGATTTAGTCTGCATTAGGTTCAAATTAGGGCACATCTATGAGCAAAAGGTTTTATAGAAGAACAGAGTGAGTTTCCTTGAAGCAAAGTTCACTTGATAGTGTCTCCCACAGGGTGTGGCTCCCCCAGAGTCTGCTCTTTGCAGGACACCCTGCAAAGCACTCTACAGCCTGTCCTGTCTCAGCACCACATGGCAAGTGTCGTGTCGCTGTAATAAGAAGTCATGCCTCATTGAGCAGGCTTATTGGATTTTCCTCAGAAGTGAAGCAAGTGGTGTGCTAAATTGAACGCAATTCATAGTTTTTGGGCGGAGGGCTGCTCTGCTATTACATTAGGTGGGAGAGAATTACATAAGCAGACACAATATTGCAGTTGTTCAACCATTACAAGACACTTGTGGACTTAGTGAAATCACATTTCAATCACTTCAGCAGTCTCAGGTGACTTGCTGTAAATGAGGACAAATGAGAAAATTAAAGTGACATCTTTTGATTTTTGGGCCACTGAGCACATAGCTATCACTGACTGAATCATTCAGTCAGACAAAAGAACAAAGAGAATATAAAAATCACACCAATGGTCGCAGAAAGAGCAGGTAAGTGTGCCAGGGACTTACTGTATGTGAGTCAGGAGCTGAATCTGTCAAAGTTGACAACTTCTGATACTACAACTGATGATCTGCACATCATAATACAATATGAGAGAATAAAATACAATACGGCATACTTACATAATTATCATTGTCTTTCAACCTGATTTTCCAGTTCTGTTCCCGCTGTTTCATACCCACTAACCTGACTGTGTGGACATTTAACACATTGTAAAACAAGCTGTAAAATGTATCCACTTCACGTTGATCCTGTTTACAGCACACAGAGATAAGCTACCCTTGCTCACTTTTAACATTGGCCCCTCAGACTTGTATGTCATGTAGGCTCCACAATAAAAACAATAAGCAGTGTTCAGTTTTGAACACAACAACAGCAACAACAAAACTTGTGTATGCAGAAGAATATCAATTTCTGATACATGCTAGTCTGTTGACACTGTGTAAAGAGGAGCACGCGTCTGCTTGGAATCTAATTTGATGCTGTTGATTTATGTGATTTGTGCATAGCTTCCTTTGAAGCTCTGCAGTGAAGCCTTTTAGTTGTCAGCTAGGTTTGGATGTTTTGGCTTGTATTCAGGGGGATGTACTGTATACTGATTGTGACTTGGAAACAAGATTGTTAATAGACCCATGTCAATCACCAACAACAAGAAGTATTCTGCAGCTGGTGTTCAATTGTTCCATGCAATTTTAAGCTATTTAGGACCTTTTACTGCTTCATTTCTGTGTATTTAACTTAGAAGAGCATCATCTACACAAGACGCTATTTAGGACTTTTTACTGCTTCATTTCTGTGCATTTTCAGAACTTAGAAGAGCATCATCTACACAAGATATTTAATTTTTGGTTCTCAGACTGTAGAGATATATGGACATAGCATCTGTAACATCACCCATAACTTCTGCGCGTTAGATTTAAGTTTAACACCTGCTTTTTCAAGAGCTGTTGTCATAAAATTCAAAGTTAAAGAAAGGGTAAAGCTGAGGTGAGACATACTGTAAACAGTATATGGCAACTGCCATAGTTGACTAGAATAGGCTGAGAGACCTGCAAGTCAGCCATATGTAAAATGAAACATATCCCAATTTGAAGATTTTATATATTCCTCAATTTCTCCCAACAGGAAAAACTACAAAACTAATAGTGCAAGTAGAAATTGAGCAACAAAAATCCTCTTCGGGATCAGTGTGCTAGGAGCTGCATGTTGATTTAAGGTTTTTGTAGGGCTTGGAAACTATAAATTAATGAGTATGTCTTGAGCTTGACCCAATTATCAACTAAACATTTGAATATTTTGACTTATGATGCTTCTTTAATATTGCTTGTTTTAAAAAAATGTGGCTTCATTGACATTACTGGACTTCAGCTTTCACTGTCTGTTACAAATCTTCAAGTAATGACTCAAATTGTAACATACCGTTGACCAACACAGCGATGTCGACAAAATCAATCTCGCCCCGGGCCTCTACGCTGGCTTCACAGCGGTACACACCCTCGTCAGCCTTGGTCACCTGATGGATCTGTAGGTTGTTGTTTGCCAGAACCTGGAACCTGCCTTCACACATGGGCGAAGAGGAGGACAGAGAGAAAGTCAGTCAAAGACAGAAAGAGAGAGTGGGGAGAGGAAATTGAAAAGAAAAACAGTGTATGATAGAAAGAGAAGTGAGATAAGAAAGTTAGAAAAACAGCAGAGGAAAATTGCCATCTCCACTCTTCAGCAGTTAAGACTGTCAGTCTTGTCTTCAGCACATTTACCTGATAAAAGTCCACACAGATAAACACTCGTGCAATTACAGTGGCCACTGTGAGGTTGGCCAGGAGTGATGAAGCCTCTATCTCATTTCTCTCAAGCAATGATATTTATAACCATGCATCACAATTAGTGAAATGATTTTAAAAAACCCTGTCTTTTCCATGTTTCATCATTAATATGCTACTGAGGATTTGAATTTCAATTAAAAAACGTGACAGATTCAAGGGGTCACTCTTTCTAATCAGTGCTCAGGCATGCATTTAGTCTGGAAGGAGGATGGAAAGTGGTGTAGAGAGTTATAAATCAGGGAGACAGAAGAGCAGAATAATGAATCCTAGTCTTTTTGGATTCTTACTGTTGCACCTGCCTTGTATCAGAAAAGAATATATTGGTGTTTCTCTCCCTCTATCTGTCTTTACTTTGCAAATTAAGCAGATCACCCTCCTGATAGTTAACACAATTACAGCTACTGAAAATGCTGCACTTGGAGAGGAGAGCTCTATATGTTTAACCTTTTTCAGATCAAATGAAACAGAAGATGGTTGACAGCATGAGTGTGAATTACTGTGAGATGAGTTAACTGTACTGGCTTTTTTCAAATAATGGTACATCCTGGGTTGCTCAGAATCTTTGATTGTCACCATCCAACTGCTCTATAATTCATTCTCTCCGTTGCTTGTTAACATGGTTTCTGTCCAAGTTATTCGCCTCCTCCAGGGCTGATTGAGGTTTCTATTCATAGAATTTGATATCCTAGTCTTATTGTGAAGCCACACAAAAGATGGAAATAGCATTTCCTAGAGAACAGTATTTTTGGCACATTAGTGTGTCTTTTCAATGAGACAGAGAATTGAGCACATTGGGATTTAGAAGAATCTCTTCTCTCAATAATCAAGTGCATTTGGCAGGTTCACATTCAAAATATAATCCTTTGGAAATTGCTGCTAACTTGCAACTTTTAGCACCATTGTAATCTACTGTTAGAACAGTCAAGATTAGAAAGACATTCTGGAAATGCTGTGCACTGTATAACACAATTACGTTTTCCATTACCAACTAAAAATACCCTTTCTCCCTAAAATCCAGAGGGCTCCTTCAGTTTATTTTAATATTTGTCCTACTTAGCAGCTATCTGTATCATAAAAATCACTCTTTAATTAATGCAACTAAATAGAACTTTAATGAAGATTTAAAAAGGGAAAATGTATTGAATCACCACAACATTAACACTTGACTATTACTATTACAGTTACTTCTAGATTATCTTCAATTTTTAAATCCAAAATTGGATTTTTTTTCTACTTATTCTATCCACCTGTAAACTACATGGCTCACTTGGCCTTATAAACATGTTTCAAGTAGATCAACTAGCAATAACTTAATTAGTTCGTAAATTTTGCAAATAATTTAGTCAAATCCCAGATGTACCCATCCCCGATTCCCTGAATGAAAACAAGAAACAAATCATAACAAAAGTCAAAGTAAAGAACAGTACAGAACAGGACAATAAAAGACAATGACACTGAAAAATATCATTGGAACTTACTGTGGTGCTCCTCAGTAATTTCTTTGTCCTGGTAGTACCAAACCACCACAGGCACTGGTGAACTAATGACATCACACGCCACTTCTGCTGTCTCACCGTGGCGAAACTCCTGCGGTGACTTAACATCCTGAAATGTCAGCCTCTCTGCCAGATAATACAAGATAGAGGTTCAAAAGTTTATTGCACATTTGAACATCAAAAAGAAAATAAGAAAACAGCTGTGCTTTTACTGCCCTGTTATCTAAGACTCTTTTGAGACAGTTTTAGGGTTAGAGGTTTGAAAAATACATTTCCTTCCAATTTTCTATTCTGGATATGCTGACTGTTTTAAGGTACTTTGCTGATAATGCAGTGAAAGTGTTGGGATAGCCTCTATCTGGCGACCTGTTTGCATAAAAAAGCCCAAGAGCAGTGCCTCAAAACACACACACACATACTAAACATTCTATCTTCCCTCCTGGTTTTAGACCAAAGCACTGGACAAATTAAATAGGTTGATCTGATGGTGCTAGATGAAAATTCATCAACAATTCAACCTAAGGCACCCATGAATTCCATGGCAATACATCACTAAGCACAGCTGTCATGGAAGGTAAAGCCCAGTAGTTTAAACCCAGTGTTTGTGGGAACACACATCAGAAACAGTAGTTCACTGGAAATGGATGGGCATCTTTCAATAATAAAGTCTAATAAAACAAAAGCTAAGTTGCGCTTTGACAGTTTTCTGGGACACAGATAAGGTGATTGTGATAAAACATCACAGGAGACAGGAGCGTGGCCGTTTTACTTGCTACCAATCACAACCAAGACAAAACATAATCAGTGAACAGAGATTTCCTACTTGCAAAATTAGACAAGAACACAGGCAGCCTCTGAATCACTCTGTCTTGGTTTCAGGAACATTTCGATGATACATTCCACTCTGTGCCAGTTTGAAGCTGTGTTCTCCTACCTGACAAACATTTGGTGCTTTGACAAATTGCTTTTATGAGGGCAATGTTCTTGGGCCAGTACTTCTCTTCAGCCAGCATGCGATCCTTCTTTGAACCCTGCTCTCATTCAGATAGGTGGCTTTGATGTGCGCCGGGGCTGGCACTACTAGAGCTGCAACCACCTGCTCTCATCTGTGTGCTGTATTGGGAAGGTGTGAATAAATCAACGACAGTTCCCATATCAGTCCCTTCCCTGAGTGAGGCTTCAACATTAGCATTTTGCCGTGTGATTTATGCCAGGGTGCTCCCTAAAATGAGCTTTCTCTCCCTGACTGCATCCTCCATCTGTGAACGTGTCTGGCATCTCGGTGACTTCATTAACTTCAAAGATGCCTTTGCATGTTTTTGTCATTCAGTCTGTTGGTTTCCTATCAATTTTCTCCTTGTGTTCTCTCTGAATAATGTTTATTTCCAAAATCTTTTGCTTATTCACTCCCCCATCTCCCTCTCAGGTTTGAACATGTCTACAGTCCTGTTTGTATCCATTTCCTGTCTCTTCTGTAGTTCTACAAGAGAATCAAGGGAAACATCCTCTCCAGAGTAACACTCTACTGCACACTTGACACCGCTGAATTGAAAATATACTCACTACTCCGGAGTTACTCTTCCACTGTTCGCCTACACATCACTTGGAGGATAACTGTCTGCAGATTTGTATCTGTCTTTCCTGGCCAGTTTAGCTGGTTTTAGAAAACTGGCTTATATAACATTATGGAATTGTCCTTTAATACAGGACCTGAATAGTTGAATAGCCAGAAGGAGCTGGCTCAGACATCTGTATTGGCTTACTTATGAATTTTGTGTCACCTTGCTCAGGCACCTACGTAGAACAGTTAATTCAAACAGAGTTGCACATTTTGCCAGCAGTGAATTAAGAAGTATAGTTTTGGGGGAAAATCTAGTTTCATCTTTTGTGTGTCATATTTCATGGCAATCTATTCAATGGTTGTACAGCTATTTCACTCAAATGTCCTGGTGGTTCTAGAGGAAAAGTCAAGAGACTCACCAAAATACACCCCCTCGGGAAAACGACAGATATTTCACTAAAAGTAAAAAATGTCTACATCGTTGTGACGCTAGAGGAAAAATCATGTGGATCATTGACGTGGGGACCATAAATACCTGTACAGCATTTCATGGCAATTGTTGAAATATTTTAGCATTTTATTTAGGACCAGGGTGATGGACCTAGAGCTGTGCAGCAGCTTTTGTATGTTTCTAAGTTCAGCAATGCTTTTATTTAATTCAAAACTGATCAGCCACCCCATGCAGCACAATTACAGTAGGCCAACAGCTACTGAGATGATGGCAACACTTTTCCTCCCATAGGTCATGAATTTCTTGTAGAACACGTTGTAGCACAGAGGCTCATACACCGCCTGAGGAGTCCTCGCCTGCTCCGGCTGTGCGTTGGCAGAAAGGCTGGCTGGAGCTTTAGGCAGGTTTTCATTCACATGCTGTTCGTGCAATCTACATCAAGGGCCCGACTGAGTGATGCCTGGTTGCCATGGAAACCATGCTTTTATGGAGATGGTTATGTGGTGAATGAGGCCAGAGCTGAGTGGTGGCAGGTGTGATTGAGGTTGTGATGGTTCACTGGGAGGTGATGGAAAACGCAACTGCACAACAGGTGTTGATTTCCAGAATTCCAGAGTGTGTATCTCTCTCCTGGAATTACATTCTTGTACCCTAACGTCTTCAAATTATACTTGGGGAAAAACCCCAGTGTATCTGGGCAATTCACATCTCAAAATTCACTTGGTTTTTACATAATGATTTTGTGTGCGTGCCTTTTGCATGCAATACAATCAATTCTGCGCTTGTCACTGTGCTACCTGTGAACAGTAGGTGTGAATATTGGAAAGCTGCCTTTTATATATAAACAGGGGTCCAACAACCTTTATAAATAGATTAACCTTGTGTGATTAACGCATAATTTATCAGATTTCACTACATCTACTGATTTAGAATTATAAGTTTAGATTTTGATTTTTCACTTATGTTATAAAATATTTATGTTATGTTCACTTTGGTACCAAACTTACTCCTTTAATTATTCATTTATTTATTTGCTGGAAGCCTGCACAGTTTAATTGTACAAGCTAACTCCCTGAGGTTGTCAAAAGCCTCATATTTCTAAGGACATGACCTCAGTGTCCCCAGTGGTAACTACAACTATATGGTTTTTCTACATGTATTTTTTAATTCTTGTCCACAGGAAATCACTGGCTTGTAGAAGTTAATTTGGACATGTCGCTCAAGGACATTTTAATGGTTAATGCACTGCTCACCGAGAGGAAGAAACTTGTGATGGGACAGTCTGTGACCACTGAGTAACCCCCGCCTCATAACATTAGGTTTTTCCCAGGAAATAGTGATGGGTCAGCAAGGCGGGTTAGCCTCAGTGGCACATCCCTCATTATGCTTGGCAGGATTCGAGTCCCATGGCATTACTAGCTGTCATTATACTTTAATCACAAGAATGAGTGTAACACACTCTCATACGAGCTCACACACAAAGTCAAGGGTACATATGGACCTAAAATGCAATTGCACACTGTTAACAGTTTGTGGCTGTGGTGGGGGTGGGGATATGAATCGGTTGGCTGTCCCTGTGATCAAACACTGATGAGAAAGGCTTATTCTGATCATGTCTTCATGTCTAAATCTCCCCAGGAGGTAAACACAGAGCATCTGGTCATCTGTGATATCACATTATCTGTCAAACCTACGGTAGATCTCCAGCACAACCGAGGCCTCCTCAGTGTGACCGCTGGCATCGGTGGCCTGGCAGCGGTATATACCCGCGTCTTCGATGATGGCATTGTAAATGATGAGCCTGGCTCGTGATGTCTCTGTGTGGAGTGCCATCCGCTTTGAGGGCACAATGCGCTCACCCTGAGGGTTGTACCACTCCAGCCTCACCGGCTCACCAATAGCTAGGATCAAGGTCAAACACATACAATGAGAGAGATAAATTATACTGGTAACCAATACATTTTACTCCTTTTTACCAGGCAAGTCATGAATCACTTTTCTTTGTCATGTTTACTGCTTTAGAGTAATAGGTTTCCATGACCATTCAGACTCACACACACTTTAAATGCTGGAGGACACTTATTACTTCCTTTGAACAAAGTTACACTTGTTGACTTGCAACAGCCTTATGTATTTTTGCAAATGGCTCCAATAAACTTCTACTCTTACCTCTCTCACTTGTGAAAATACTGGACTGCCAAGTGACATTGGCTTGGCATCTGTATGCATATGGTAGCAGGTGCCTGAAAGATACTTATCCTGCAGCACACAATTCTGTGCTACTTGTGTATGTCTTCTGTCTAGGCTAAAGATTTTAGTTCCCTGCCCACAACAGCCTCCCACTGACTAAGATTCAATTAGCCTTACAGTATATTGTTGATTCATCACAACAGCTCCCAGGTGTAACTGTAAGGAGATGGTGCTAATGTGAGGTGGGATTTTATTGAAAATTAGCACATTTGTCCAGCATATATTGTTATGTAAAGACATCAATATAATAATCTCTCAGTACTCTGGTACATAAAATCATAACCATTTAGCTGATTTGCCTCTTGATGTCTTAGAAACATGCAGGCTCCAACTCACACCCCAGCATGCTAACACCGATCATCATCACAATGTTTCCAGCAACCATAAGCATCATATCCTTGGCACATGTGTCTGCTGCTGTTACATTTCATGGCCAACAAATCTGATGAGGCAATCAAACATTGCTGGAATGATTTTGCAGTGCAAGCAGTTCCCCTCCTTGCTCTGCTTTCCTTCACACGGGTGCTTGCAGACAACAGATAAGTGTCTAGCATCGCTTCAGGCATCTCTGTTAGTATTACAGCGTTATCACCTCTTTCCGTTTTACAGTTTGTTGACAACAGAGACAGCTAAATATGTTAAAGCTGATGCAGCTAGCACTGTGACAACATTTGCATCACAGATGATCTGAGAAGACAGGAGTGTGAAGTATGCAGCCCTGTTTTCCACACTGAGCCCTGCCTCCCTCTATGTCTTAACAACAGGATGAAGAGTGGTGGAAATTTCTGTCAAACCGCTCCTAAAATCTGCATAAACTCTGGTTATTACTGATTTACTGCGAGAGAACACTCATTGACTGATTCATAATATAATGACAATCACTTTTCTAGGTTCTAGCAACTTGCCTATACAGTGCTAAGGTGGTTTACTCAGTGTCAACTTTTGCTACCTGCTGACAAAACAAACAGCTCCACTCTATTTGAGCTTAATTTTTTGAAATGCACATAGAAATAAAAAATTATATAAGGCCAGGACAAGAACAATGCCTTGTATCTGGAAGATGTTTCAGACAATGATTATGATCCTTCTTAGCAGTGAGGGTATAAAATAAAGCAGCTGAAATATTTAAACAATCTTAGCCTTTTGCACAAGGCAGCATATTGACTAAACATGCCCCTTGGTGCAAAAATAAGCCTAAACACTCCTACGTACCCACAGTGGCTGGCACGGGAGCCATGGCAATAATTGATTTAGGTCTCCGGGGAAGTAGATAACAGTGGAGAAACAAAATCACACTGGTCAGCATGAATATATGTGTAGCTTGACATGATGCTAACATTATCGGTTATGACTCTGTGATGTCTGCTCAATGAAAGTGAATTGGTATCTTCCAATTCACTTTATCTTTCCTCACTCCACTTTCATCTAAGACGGTATCTTCCAGCTTCTGATTGGCTGAACACACCTGAGTCAGGTAATCAGCAGCAGGTCAGGCAGGGATAGTTGGAAAACAAGCAGGACAGCAGCCCTCGAGGACTGGAATTGCCCACCCCTGGTCTACTGGGACAAGCGCTGTGACCTACTCTGTTCAAGTGAGATATTATCTGAAGAAAACCACATGGAAACATCATAACTGTTGGATCTTGCTCGAACCTGCTTTGGTAGCTGCTTCTGTTTTCTTTTGCAGCCAATGCTTGTTCTGGCTCTTTGCCACTTCAGTCAATGTTGATATGGACATGGCCTTGTGCCACATGCACAACTTCACACACTGTTGTATCATCTGAGACTGGGAGTCATTCATTCCAATGGAGGGTGTCCAATTGGCTCCCAAAGCCCAGAACACTTTATTTCTCAATAAGTCAATCTCAGATCTTAAGGTACTATTACAGTATTACTTAAAGTATTTCTATTACTAGCTTTACAATGATTTTTGCTCCTGACTGAGGCTTTAGAAAAATAGTTGAGATTTGAAAAACACATGAAGAGGCTTAAAAGCATCTCTATAAAAATCCATTAAAGTAGATAAAATATGTGTTAGGGCTGCTGCTCCAACAGGAGGTCGGAGCAGCAAAAACAAGAAATGAACTCAGGTGCAAACATGAGCAATCGCAGGAAGAGAGGGTTTAATAACAATTATTGTTCAGTCACCAACAAGCAAAAACATAGAGGCAGAGGCGAGGCAGCTGGAGCACCTGGGTGGTTCCACTGGGAGATCAGCACAGGTGAGTGAGTCCTCCTCGCCAAACACACTGGCGTCGAAGAGGAAAAAAAACAAAAGAGTACTAGAAA